AGCTCTGATTGGTTCTGATTGAAGGACAGTGGGTAGACCTCAATGCAGCTTGCTTTGAGGTCTACTCACTATCCTTCAATAAGAGCCAATCAGAGCAGGGCGTCAATCTGACGTCACAACAATACCTGCGCAAGAAGCAGACGACTTGCTCTCCGCATTACTCTACCTTTCATGTTTTTTTTTAATCAAAATAAGTTTGGTCGAACTAAAATCAAACACCCTGTGCAATGACTGTTGGTTACCACAAGGCACACATAGCCAATGCGGTATTTTAGCAATGCCCAGCCTGTATTTAACAAACTGGAGTAATAAAAGCTCGTGCACTGCAGTTTTGACGTGATCACTGTGATGTTGAGGGCATCCTTCGATTGGACACGAGCGATGCTTCAGCTTTCGGCTGGACCTCGTGTCCAATCAACACGTCGAAAACGCTCGGTGTTGAGCCTGGGTCCAACTGTTCAGTTGGCGCCATCCGAGTGTGATGAAGCTACGTGGAGGTAGAGGAGGGCGTTTACAGGCTTCGAACATTCTACAGCGGGTGTTGGTTCAGCCAAAATTGTCAATATTATGCGGGTGAAACTTCCAGTTTTCCTCTTTTCCACTTACCCCTGAATAAAGAGACACTGATCAGTTTCATCGGCAAGTTATAAGCGGTGACCCAATGAGACCAGAGTAACGGCCAAGCAGTACGTACACGTTCTCCAATGCAAGAAGACAGGCCCAATATGTGTCGTGACCTAAGATTTCTACGCAATCAGTTCCAAGATAATCACGAGACACGTAAATAACACTTCGAATTGCGGTCTCACAAATCACAGTTTTGTTATGCACACATTATTATATATCCTTGAACACTATACTTCGTTTCAGCTTCCGCCCGAGCGCAGCCAAAGGCTGAGGGACGGTTCGCAACTTCAAGAAGAGCATTCCTACGCACCACAAAGTAGTCCGCCAATGATTTTTTTTAAAATAACTGTTGTTTGCGTAAGCATTGCACAATATCCCAAATGTGTACTGCTGCAAATGATTTGCAACTAAAGGAATTAAATAGCTGAAGTTTGTGTTCTTATTAATATATGTAAATGCATGTGGTTTGGTGAAAACACGTACATCCGCTGGCAACACGACTGCAGCGCTCGGTTTTTCTGTGTGATTTCGCTCCCGTGATGGCCGATTCATGTGTTTTGCTGCGATCCTCACTGAGTCGCTTCAAAAGTCCTTTCGCAAAGGCACGTTTGGGCGTCAGGCTCGAGAGGTCCTGATGAGTGTCTACTTTCAAATTCGGCAGGAGACTTCGGTCGCGTCCTACCGCGAACGCGTTTCTGTAAACAAGAAAAGCGTCCGAGCCACTCCAATTCACTGATACGCGGCGAAATCAGGGAAACCTGCCGATCAAATTGAACGGCGAGAAGCTAGTGGAAAGGACTGCGCTTTGAGCCCTGGTATATCCAGACAATACAAGGAAAGATCAACGGCCGGGGAATCGAGCACTTTGCAACGTGTACTTACATCTCGAAACTATCTTGCCGAACAGGTGGAAAGCTCGGACACAGACACCAGCGGCCAACCTACGTACTGACATCCCCTGTCACTAACTATCAGAACGTGAAAGGACCATTTTTAAACTTGTAGCAGACGAAATCCTCGGCGAGCGCGGGCGGCGCGGATGACCAGCGGCGCAGCGGAGTGATACAAAAGTGCAGGCGAAATCGTGTGCCCTATTGCCGGCGTGTGAGTGGCTCCGGTCACACGTAGCTTTGGCTGCGCTCGGACGGAAGCTGAAACGAAGTATAGTAAACAAGGCTAGAAAACTTGACGGACTTAAAGATATATCAAACTATGAAGCAGAACACCAGTTATCACACGTTGAAGTCGGGCAGTCATATTTGAACGCACTGCAGTCTTTAAAGTGTAATTTGTTTTTGCGAAGCCGTGACTAATACTTTAGCAAAGACAAACACAACAGTACAAACCGCACAACAACATGCTCTCACGTCGTTCTGACGTCTCCAGAACTCATAGATGAGACTTCTCTAATTTCACTTCAAGGGTGATCTGGCTGTCTATTTCTGGCTTCGGGTTCGACGCCCTATCGAAGATTAATTTCTGAAGACCAATCAGGGGCGCTTCCACGGTGAGGTACAGCAAATAGCCGAAGAAGGTGCTCAACGTAAACACTCCGAGAGACGTTGTGAACTGTTAGCCAAGCAAGGAGAGAAAAAAACAGAAAACAAAGCATAAAGGTAAGAACAAACACTTTTTTTTTTTTCGATTCAGAACCTAACTGTTAGACACGCTAATATTAGTACACATCTTGAAACACAAACTTTAGGGACCGGGAGGGCCTAGATTTTATCCGCAATGTATATATTGTAGAGCGAATCGCTCAAATCTACAGAGGGAGCTTGACCAATGACGAGGCTGAATATACTTTTAGACCTCCCAAGAATTGTGCGCCTGTAGCATAATATTTCATCGCGCTCAGTGCGACAGTGCAGTCTGTTCTTTTAGGTTTAAATAGGCTTCCAGCCTGGAAATTCGCCGAACGCCTTGGAACTTTCAAGTGTTTTGCAGGCAAGAAGACGCTGCAGCTTTTTGTGTGTGTGTGTGTTTCAGAGTCACGAGAGCTTCAGAAATTCAGCGCGCGGCTGATGATGCTCACGCTTCTTGCTCTCTGATTGGTCCTTCGGCGCTTTTATCGGCTAATGACGCAATCTCATTGACTCCAACTCGATAATAAAATGCACGGCACCCTTTATGCCCTGCGGATCTTAAGCTGTCGATGACTGTATAGCTTCAAGTTTAACGAACGTTGCGCTCTCGTGCACTCGAATGTCCACCGTGATGTAGCAGATTACCGGAGTGCGGCACTTTGCGATCATATTCGCTGTTTGTGTGTGAACGCGCATATGACCCAACGATTCTGAGTATTACCTTAGAGCGGCTAACCGCAACCCACGACCTGCAGCGGAAATAGCACCCCCCCCCCCCCCCCGGTAGCCGCCATCTTGCCTGTTTGCCACATTAGGGATCACGTGACATCAAGATGGCTGCGACAAGAGGTGGGCTAGATCAGATTGGCCAGATCACGGTCAGAAAAATCCGAGTTACTCGTGCGGATTATGTCACGTGACGAGACAGATGGAGCAACCGGACGCGGGTAGGTTTTCGAACCTTTAACCTATAGTGAGATCAAGTAAATTTTGGAACACGCCTTGCTGACTGTGATCTGGCCCGACCTCTGGGCCCAGCCTTCTTCACGTCATGCGATCACTAGTGCGGCAAATGGGCAAGACAGTGGCAACCGGAAAAAAAAGGGGGGGGGGGGGGGAGCCATTTTGGGCCGCTGGTGTACCTCTCTAAGGCTACTCAAGCTCGTTGATCTGGCCAGGTATGGGAATATCTTCCTTAGAATGGTTTGTTCTGGAATTTTAGTGGGCTGAAACAATCGCGTAATGGAGAACAAGCTATAGTTTTGTGTTATTTGTATCAGCGTGTGTAACCCTGTTTCTCTTTTTTTCTAAGGGGGGGGGGGGGGGGAGGCAATTTAGAAGACTTTAACGGGTATTAATGCATGAGGTAAGAACATCCAATACTTTCTTGAATACTCTTTGAAAAAAAATATAATATCAAGTAAATAAAAATAATTTAAAAATATATTTTTTGTTTTGTTTTTTAAACATTTCTTGACTTTACCAAGCTTTTTTTTATTTTTTTTATTTGACAGGTTGATGACTCTCGTGCATTTTAATGTAGCTGTTTGCCCTGAAATGACCAACATAATGTGACATATTTTTCAAGTTGCAGAGAAAGAAAAAATCAAGCCCGCTTAATTTACAGTTAAGATATTTATCTGAGCTTAATAACTTTTCTTCGCAACAATCTATTAACGTTGTAATCTTGTCAAAGACCTTGAAATTATTCCTGGAGTAACCTTTACAATGTAAACGTAATCTCAAAACACTGTAACGTACCAGAAAATATTCGTCTCCATTAACGTACGTCCTCATTCGTATCTGTCTGAGACCGTAAATCAGGACATGCACCAGGTAGATGGAGAACGCCAGACGGGAAAGTGGAAAGAAGAACGTCCACCCGAAGAACTTGTTTATCAGCCCTGAACGAAAGAGAAAAAAGACATGAAAAGGAATCACCACGAAATGACAATCACCAGAAACGTTTGCGGTAGATAATTTTATAGATAACGATTAACGAGCATGGAACAGGAATCTAGCAGCTCCGTTATTTTACATAAATTATTCTCTCACTTCAAAATGTAGGTCTTTTTTTGTACTCCTGACCTTGAAGACAATTTGCATGTTATGTCTAAAGTTTGAACGCGATAGGCAGACCTGCATAGTACGCTTTTCCGCAATGGCCGAACTATTTGCAACGGAACTGCATACAGTCCAGAAAAAAAAAAAAAAAAGGGGGGGGGGGGTTTGTTGGCTGGCTTAATTGCAGAACACAATAAAACGAATCACGGCGTAGAATAGAAGGATCCTAGTTCTGAGCTACGTTATTCACTGTGATTCTTCTATTTATTCCCGTGTTGCGCGTTGTCTCGTCTTCTGCACGAAAGCAAACTCATGCACATACCTGGCTTAGTAGAGAGAACATTTGGTCTGATAACGTGCACTGCACGTGTTTTAAATAACACATAATTTATGTCATACTGAGATACATCGTCTTGATTATATTGAAACGCGTATGCATAGTCAATTTAAAAAAAAAAAAAGAACGGGCTAAGGTTTTGAATGATTTGATACTATATGACGTTCGGCTGCGCATTTGTTATTTTAATTCAGAGTGGGGACGCTCTGGTGGGTGACAGCTAATCTAAGAGTCACAGGCCCTGGCTCAGTACGGTCAAGGTTGTTGCTTTATAATTCATTCTTGGGCGTTCTTTTCGGCGAATGCTCTAAGCTCGAAGGCTACGGAGCCATACCAAGAAGGGACTAGTCACACGTTGCGTTTCTCATTGATTGCAGCATTTTTGCTTAACAGTATGCGAGACTTCCGCATTTACTGAGGAAGCGAAGTAAGTTGACAAACAAACCTCCACGCCCGGTTGCACATGCGTAAAAGGGCCAAACGAACACGAGCGACCACAGGTGCCGATGAAAACCGGCGTACAGTGCGCTCACGACGACGCCCGGGAGGTGACCATTGTTCCAGTCATAGGTCACAAACATGACGAAGCAAGCCAGACCAAACGACGTGACCCACAAAGCGGCTTGCAGGATCTGTGAAAATAAGATCGTTTTGATTATTAACAGTTTTTATAACTAATTAAGGGGTTAACGTGCTGCTTTATTTTATGGGCGAGCTCGGGATTTCTACACAGTGATTTATAATAAGAGCCTTATCGGGTGAGATAATTATGTGAGGCACTAATGCCATAACCTCGTTGGATACGCAGCAATAACAACATGCTCCGGACTCGCCACGTCCCGCGTTTCCAAGGCTATGAGAAACTATGCGGAGCGCAAGTTCGTCTGCTTCTTGAACAAGGGTTGCGGTGACGTCAGAACGCCAAGCTCCGATTGGCTCGGTTAAAAGGATAGTGAGTGGACTTCAATGGCTAGCTGCCCATGAGGTCTATCCACTATCCTTCCGATTCAGCAAATCGTAGCTCGTTGTTAAGATGTCACCGTAACCCCTGCTCACGAAGCAGACGAACTTGTGTTCCGTATTGGACCTGTGCGGAAATAAAGACTTTTGTTGGTGCTGAAGGCCCGTTGCTGTCTCCAAGAATTTTGGAAGTGATCATCTGGCGAATTTTTTGGCCTCAAATTAAAACGAAGCCACTGCGTCTGCGGGCAAGCACGAGACGTGTGCGAACGCCAAACCGTTTGGGTGCTGTAAGACAGAAAACGTTCACGTGAAAGCAAATCGCGCGTAGAGGCCATAACGAGGTTTATAGCGGCTCCAACTCAGGCCTGAAAGTTCGCACTCGGTCCGTTGCTATAGCAGCTATGCCGCTTGTGTTGCTGTTGCAGTATTTCTTACCGGGTGCAATGACACGTTTTTATGCTGGGCGGAGATATAGCCGCACAAGACTCCAGTGAGGTAAGAGCTGACCTGTGGGAAGGGCCGCAGGTACGTGTACGTCATCGTCCGCGCCAACTTTCTGTAAAGTGTGAGAGCAAAAGTTAGTGATCGCTGTCCTACAGAGCCGTACCTACGGTGAGACCGTAGGTAATGCTTGGTACCTTCGGTTTCACCGGAAATACCGTCCCTCCCCCCCCCCCCCCCTTTCCTTCTAACCTTTCCACCGCGCGCTCCCCATTTGGCAACTCCAACGCTATACTTACAATATACGTTCGGACTATTTGGATAATCTAGAATTCGGACGGCATAAACCTTGGAGAACCCAAACGTGCTTTATTTCTAGACTGAATGTCCAAAACCAAACTTCTTCGATACTCTAGCTTGCACGTGACGTCTCTTGCAGCAGAGTAACCCCGTTGAAAGCAATGCCCGGGTCGAAATTCAGTTCATCGCACAAGCTGCCATAAAACAGATAGAAAGCAGAACTTCTCTATGATGTATTGCCGAGGCTTGTGGACGACGCTACCGCGGCGGTGAAGTGTGGGAGCGGTGAGCGTTGATGAGAGTCACCCTGGTCGCGTCTGCTTTCTACCGACTACCCTGCCGCTACCACGAAGTTTAGATAATCAGGAGCCTTGGAGCACCGAGATTCGGCGGTCGCTTTTTTGCATGGTTTACTGTATGCATTTTACTCTTTAGTGACGCGTCAGCACAGTGCTTCCGTGAGTCACCGACGCAGGAATTTTGAGCCCGTTTTACTCTGGAAACGAGCCCCGTGTACACCTTTAAGGTACGGCCTTGCTTCAAGTTCCTATGTTTAGTTATTCATGAAGATAGATGGTTGAAAAATTAACTCAATTGTATACGAACTTTATGTTTCGGGTATTAGAAACTCACAGCTATGCTTACAAGGCAACATGTGTTCATCGCGAAAATGACGTGTACAATGAAAAAATGAGAAAGTTATTTTCACCGTTGATGTAGTTTGAAAGCGGTCCCGGTGTAGGGATAACCATGATGAATGTGAAACTTACCTAGCTCGTATGTGTCTTTACCGCTGCAAATGTTTTATGTGCGTTAGTTTGTTAAGAAAAAATTACCGAGAAAAAAAAACTTTACGATAAGGAAAGAGGGACATTTAAGACAAACAGACAAGACAGGGTTTCAAAAGCCTTTCAAAAGCCTTCGAAAGCCTGTCTTGTCTGTTTGTCTTCAATGTCCCTCTTTCCTTATCGTAAATTAATAACCAACACGCTTAACCATCTACAAAAAAAAAAAAAGGAACTATCAACAGATTCTTGTATTTAAGGAATGCACCAAACGTTTTCGCAACTGCTGTTAAGCAATGATTTTCATAGTTTGGTAATAAAAGAAATTAAAGACGCGTATCAACGAAATGTATATTTGAAAACAAATATTTTGAAACCAAGTCAACCTAATATATATAATAAATACACAGCCACTGCACCCAATAGGAGTGAGTGGACGAAAACGTCTGGTGGATTTCAAGCTATCCGAAAGCGCCTCTTAGTGTTAGCTCCGCTTGTACACGCAAGAATTTATAAAAAAAAATGGAGATATATACCAAATTCACATCTAACAAGAACATTCGGCATAATACAAACTAAATATAAGTCACAACTTCACTCTGAAACACAACTGTTGTGATGTTGAAGGTTAAATATTTCCTCGTTTGCTCTCCGGACTTAAATAAAAAGAATTCCAATCTATCCTTATATATTATTTTGATAATTAATTGTCAAACCCTCCTTTTATACCGAATGTATTAAAAACAAGGTTGAGTGTTTTTTGTGTTTGTTTTTTCAATTTAAAAACACGCATTTTTGAACGCTCACTCTGCCCAACGTAGGGCATATTTTGAAACCAAGTCAACCTAATATATATAATAAATACACAGCTACTGCACCCAATAGGAGTGAGTGGACGAAAACGTCTGGTGGATTTCAAGCTATCCGTCATGTTTGTGACCTACGACCAGATGCCAAAGTTTCGGAGCTGGCCTTTAATTAATATGTAGGTTAAAAGTGAAACTCTGCATATCCGTTAATTATCCCCGAATCAGCGGAGGATATATGCAGCCAACTGGAGGATACGGATAAAAATGAGTAAGATTTAGCGGATGGCGGATCGAATTGGGATGCATGCGTATCGGCAGAAGATATCCGCGGGTCCGGATTTACATTCTTGCCGAGGTGTCTCATGAACGTGTGTAACTGTCGACTATAGAGTAAAGGAGTGAGTCGTACTAGTACATCGACAAATGTTTTGCGGTAGGAAATTACTCTTTTAGAAAAAAAAGGGTACTGATTGGGGAGAAAATTAATATAACACCAAGTAGGACCAAATTTTCTCATTAGATCACTCTGTAAAATTCTATCTCACCAAAAATTCTCTCCCAAGAAAAGTATAAAAACAATGCAGGGGCATCAATCGTTTCGGAAAAGCGTTTTTTGTTTTGCAGGGAAAGAGCGGAAAATGTTCTTCGGCCAAATAAACCTTAAACGTAGAAGCTACACGAAAAAGAGAAGCAGCCTCCTTCTCCCCTTCGAATTGTCCGGATGTGGTTCGAATGCGTATACCAAGTGTGCAGATGCGGACCGAATGCGCCAATGATGATTTAGGAACATAGCGGATGCGGTTCGGTTGCGGATAGAAAGACTGCGGATGCGGACCGAATGCTGATGATCAAACTGTTATCGGAACCGGGCTCTTGTTATAAGCCATTTTTGGAAATGTTCAATGAGAAAATGATGCTCAGAAGCGCACAAAGACATGGCGATAAATGGCGTTTGCTGCTGGGAAAGAACACGCGATGAGTCGCACGAACATGCGATTCATTCACACTTTGGCGGTAGCGCTTGACGTTCGAACCCAAGCTGCCTGAACTCTTCGTACTTGTCGCAAGTTAGTTTATTTTTGTGCACTTTTTCAGCATTTCGCCGCTGCTGCCAAAGAGTTTGCTAGAAGTACTTATTTGTCGTATTTTAGTTTTGTTTTGACGTAAACAGCATGAACCTTTGCAATGCATGTTATGAAGAGCTACACGGGGAGGAGTGTCCCTTGTCGTGCTGCGAATGCGAACAATTTTTTCATTTGGGTGTGTGCTCGAAAATCCTGGCATCTGTGTTCAAAAAAAGAGAAAGAGTTAAAAACGAGCTGGAAATGCTCGGAGTGTACAGCAGCAAGGACAAGGTCAGAGAGCAAGACCGTAAAACAAAGAACAGAGCACAGCATGTCAATCTTGCTCGCTGAAATGAACCGAAAACTTGTCTGTTTTCTGTCACTGTAAACAGGAGTAGAAAGCATTGAGCATTCAGTTCAGATGCCCTCTGACCAGTACGACGAAGTCTTGAAGCCCCTAAATGTCCAATGGAAAGATATTAATGGCCTAAAAAATCGAGTTGACCAAATTGAAAGGGCAGGGATGGAGCATGAAGTGCAGGAGCTGAAATCGCAGCTAAACGATCTCGAGTGGCGCATCCAAAGGCAGAACCTCGAGATTCACGTTGTGTGTGAGACGGAAAGGGAGTACCTTTTGAGCGTCGTAAACGATGTGGTGGCGAAACTTGGTGTCGATGAGCTAAAATCAGAAGTCTTGGCGGTGCACAGATTACCTGCTAAGCCAGGAAATACGAAAGGTATTATAGTGCGCCTTGCTTGGCAAGAAGCCAGAGAGCCCTGGTTGAGCAAAAAGCGGGCTTTGAAAAGTTCTTGTGGCACTGGTCACCTGTACATTGCCGAGAACATGACGAGGCAAGGAAGGAATCTGCTTTGGCAGGTGAAGTAGTGGGCAAGAGCGAAACATTTTCAGTTCGTCTGGTACAGGAACGGAAAAGTGTTTGTTCGATAGAGGGGGGGGGGGGGGGGGGGAACGTAGGCCCACGTAATCTCCTGCGAAGATGACTTACGCGTACTAGGACGTTAGGTTCCCTTATCGGGTGAATATTTCTTAGTGTTTCGTTTTCACAATAAGCCTTGCACCCATTGACTTCGAAAACTTTGCTGCTTTAAAGCAACCTCTTGGTTTATGGTTTTTTGACCTAAACGCTCGGTCTCTGAAATCTAAAGTTGAGGACCTCGGTATACTTTTTCACTGTCTTGGTTTTTCTTTTGGTGTCATTATGCTGTCAGATACTTGGTATAAAGATGACTCGAATGTTTTTAGTCTGCCACAGTGCAGGCATTACTCGCTTTGCCGTGAAGAGAAGAGAGGGGGGGGGGGGTGTCTTTGCTTATACAAAATGCTTTAGAGTGTGAACTGATATCTGAATTTACCCAAGTTACTGTAGATTATGAGCTGTTGTGTGTACGTCACAGGGAATATCTTTTCGCCGTTGTGTATCACCCACCATCCGGAAATGTATCCAAGTTTATTGATTTCTTCGATATCTTTTGTAACTTTACAACAGTGAACCGCTATGTCCTTCTTCTCGGTGGTGATTACAATATTAACATGCTTGCAAACACAACAGCGCGACAGGTCTTCATGCAGGCGATTGATATAAATGGTTTTGACTATATTGAAACGCAAGCAACGAGAGTCACTGGCTCCACGTCAACTTTAATTGATTTTTTTGTCACTAATTCTGATGTATCCTCTATAATAGCTGACGTTATTAGCGTTGATATCAGCGACCATCTACCAATATTTCTGTTGATTAACAAGCCTCGTGCTGTAGAAAAAAAACCGTTACAAAGAACTTTCGAAGTGCGAAATGTTACTGATGTCACAATGGAGGTGTTTAGAGATGCTTTACTGGCTGTAAATTGGGAAACAGTTTAATTGAAATTAAATGCCAGTAGTGCATATGAATCCTTTTTTAGGAACATTTAAAGAGCAGCACACTGATAGGTTTCCGTATAGAACCGTAAAACTGTGTAAACAATCGCGCAAGCCGTGCATGATGAAAGAGTTGTTGCACAAAGTGCATAAGAAAGCCGGCAGGTACCAGCGCGTTTTAAATACAAGGGACTCCGAAGACCTAAGACCCTTCAAAAGGTATCGTAACCAACTAACTGGTTTTTTAAAGGGATGCTGAACCGAAATCTGGATTCCCCAAAACACGCGGGAAAAGCGTGCAACGGGATGCTACAAACACCAAAACATCACTCATACAGCGATATCTCCGAACGGATGACCGTATTTTTCAAAAAAAGGGGCGCATTTGGCAGGAATGTTGACGTCATGTTTCTCCGAGAAGGAGAGGGAACGCCTCGCGTCTTCTCCGCCTCGCGCTTGAGGGAGCGAAGCGAAGAGAGGAGGAAACTAGGTATCTTGACGGTCACGCGCCTCGTCGGCCTGGTTCAATCTCGATCTCTTTTTCCAAAATACGGCCGTCCATTTGAGATATCGCCTTACTTGTAGTGTTGTAGGGATCGTATCGTCCCGCCTACATCTCCAGGATTGTTTTTTTGAAATCCAAACTTCGGTTCACCATCCCTTTAAGACGCGTGAAGTCCGCATGCTACACAACCCTCTTTAGAAGAAATGATAATAAAAATTCGCGCATACTCTGAGAAAGGGAAATTAAGGTCTTGCGTCCTCACCACGAGCGTCAAATATTAGATAATATAAACTGCGGAGACGGCCATTTGTCCGGCTGTGCTTTGGCGAATGCAATTAGCAATTATTTTGTTAGCCAATCAAGTGATATAGCTACACCTCCAGATGGGCTTGACGCTAGCAGCTATATGAAACGTAATTTCGAAAACTATTTTTTCATGAGCCCTACTGATGAGAATGAAGTGTTTGGAGTTTTTAGAAACTTAAAAAACTCCAGGAGTCAAGATGTAGACGATCTTAACATCAAAGTGATAAAGCATACTGTTAACGTATATATTTAATCTATCATTTTCTTCTGGTGGTTTTCCTAAAGCAGTGCAGTGTGCTAAAGTTGTCGCTTGTTTAAAGGTGGGGACAGTAATACGTTTAAAAACTACAGACCTATTTCTCTTTTATCTATTTTTTGAAAGGTCTTGAAAAAATGATTAATTAAAGACTTTATATTTACCTAGAAAAATGTTTAATAATTTCTAATAGTCAGCACGGTTTCCGAAAACATCGCTCAACCGAATCAGCACTGTTAGTACAAAAGCAACAAATTATAGAATGTTTTGAGAATAAAGAACTCATCATGGGTGTATATATTGACTCTTCCAAAGCGTTCGATTTAATTAATCACAAAATTTTGTTTATGAAGCTAGAAAATTACGGTATACGTGGAACGGCTCTAGACCTATTTAAGTCAAACCTACAGTACCGTACACAGTCGTTAATAATAATAACTATATTTTAACCATTATAAAAATTAGAGCTGGTGTACCTCAAGGTAGTGTGCTCGGGCCACTCTTGTTTATAATCTTCATAAATGAAATTGAAAATTGCGTACCGCATGGAAACCTTGAGTCTTCTGCTGATGATATTTCTATTTTTATTTTTATTAAAGGCGGCTCAGCAGATGATATAGAAAGGAAAGCAAGAGGAGTTCTTTCAAACATTGACTTGTGGACCAAAGTAAATGGACTAAAAAGGAATTCTTAAAAGGCTAAATAGCGCAGCATGAGGCTACAATGACATGTCATTGGCATACGGAAGTTTTTGAAGTACAGGTCTTCAATTTATTTTAAGTTCTTTTAGCACAGGATTTGTTGAAGGGCTGGATTTCGTGCGAAAGTGTTGCGCTAGGGAGCAACAAAGAACGAACGCCACGCACACGCTAAGACCATAAAAAATACACAGCAGATAGCAGGCAATACATACGAGGCATATAAAATAATACTTAATACGTTTCTTTAGGTCGCTAATATCAAATTTAAACATATAATTCATTGTAATTCGTGAGATTCAACGAGCAGAGCAATGTGAATCGAATCCCGATCCGAGCGAACCGCAAAACGACGCCTTGGCACGTAACCACGAGGAGGAGGCGATCGAGAGTGCAAGCAGCTAGACTAAGTATGACTGACAAGAGCCAGAGGTAGCAGGCGACCCTCGGCGCGCGCAGCCGGCTCCCTAATGACGGCGCGTGACTTCCCACGTGATCCCCAGTTTCATGGCTTCTTAATAAGTTTAAACATCTCTCGATAGTTTGGATGAACCGGGGAACACACGGGTGTGTCGTGCATGCAACGCATCCGAAACTACCCGAAGCTGTCCGAGACCATGCGAGACACAGAAAATATTCGCAATGCACGCGCAACACTCCTTGTTCTCCCCACTATTACAAAAAATGACAAAGATGCCTTTAAATTCTCAACATTCCCTTAAGTAGCTCTCCCCGCCTACTATAATTTCTACATAAACAAGCTAGCAGGACTGCCCCCGCATTTGAGAGGTAGAATGCGTGGACATCCAGGACTTCAAAAACTCTCAAGCAAAACAGAATCAAATGAAGCGTCAACTTACTCTCCGTCGTTAGATCCTGAAGTGAAGCCGTAGAACAAGTCGTGCAAGTAAACTTGCGAGCTTACTAGACAATTTAAGGCTAATGCCACGACCACCGCAGCCAAGCAAGCCGACTTGGGGTACCTGAAAAAGGTTGAAAACCACGTTAGAAAGTCTAATGTGGTACACACAGCTTCGTCGGATGTCATATAAGCCCGAAACGGATCATAAATGCATCGATGCTTGATTTCCCCGAAATTTCAATAATTTGTGAGTCTTGACATTTCGAGCATAGGCTCATTTTTAATAAAATTATTTGGTTTCGGTGTACCATGACAGAGAAAGTTAGTATAAAAATTAACATAACCCAATGCGTGTATTTAGTGACAAGACAAGATCTTTGTTACCCTAACCCTCTACAAATCATTAAGACCTTTTTCAAAGAAGACCACACAAAAAAGGCAGATACTGAAACATTTCTGTATGATCCCCCAATATCAGCCAGAATTTAGGGCGATAAATTTTCTGACAAGCAAAAAGCATGCCAAGTAAGGACTAGGCACGGCCGACCCACCATAACCAGAATTTAAAACGTTTGATTCCGCAAAAGTACCACGCAAAGTTTAATAACGTACCGATAGAAGATTTTAGAAATGCAAGAGATTTTCAAGAATGTTTAATTAGGAAAGTATATCCTTTCCTGACAGACGTCACTCATCTCCATGTATTCCTGGGCTCTGTTCGCTGCTATTAAAAAAAAGGAAAATCGCATTGAACTCTTGATTTAAATAATGGTAGCTTGTAAAACTCTCGTGAACGTAGTACAATTAAACCTCGATCGCTATGCCCTAAGATATTTTTATTTTTTACTGGAGCTCACAATGCTTTATACCAAAAGCCCCTACTCCCAGAGAACTGCCCGGGTGATCGCACATGCGTCCTGGCTTACCCATGACAAGGCATGACCGCGCAACCGGTTTGGCTACCATGGCAACATAAGCAAATTAATGTACTACACTAGCATCTTGTACGTAGCATCGCAATAATATATAAGTATTTTTCACCATGAATCGAACCTATAATTTGTCGCTCTGCTGCCCGACGTCCGACCACTCTTCCTGCGTGCGCCGGCAAAGGTGTCTGCACCGCTCCTCCTACTCTCACGAAATGCCGATATTCTCCACAATGCATTGTGATATTTGACAGGAGTGTGACGGCAATTGATGAACAATATGTTATTTTTCTCTTTCCGACTCCCTAATACATTCTACAGTCAATTATACTGTCTTAAATATTGTATTTAATTCAATATATTCGACTTTGTAGATTATGATTGCTGCCAATTTTCTAGACTGGCTTATAAAGCGACACAAAGCTCTTTCTGGACAAAACGTTTTTTTTTTGTTTTTTTTTATACAATTTAGCTGTAAGCATTTTCCCCCAACGTTGTCTGTGAAGGTGACATATTTGGGAATTGTAATGGAACTTAGGATATAAACGTATTGTTCTAGAGAGGCCGTATCTTTTGTGCCAGAAACATGTGCCCCGGCTAAAATTAGTGCTTGCAGTACACAAGGTTTCAAAGCAAGTGCCTTCTTTCTTCGTAACTATTGAGGAATAACACGACATAATTATATTATGTATATATATTGTACCACATGGGTAAAAGAAGCTATCCAAAACCTATTGGATTGAGCAATAATTGTTACGTTCCTTCGACCACTAATATAGTTCTTCCTATGCTTATGGCAGCCCTGAATGGAGTTGTGTAGCCAAGACGCTACATTGTTCCAACAATGCATTTGCGTTCATCCTATGAAAAAATAAACCTATACTTACCTCAAAAGCATCAACCCCAGTGGGAAGGCGACAAACACGAAGATCTGAAGATCTACGCTGAGGTACCATAAATGTAACAAGCACTGAAAAAGATCATCATTGGCTAGTTTAATGCAGTGGTTGAGTTTTAACTGTACAGGTATTTTTTTCCAGCTTTCCCTGGAACTTCTTTGGAATTCTTCATCGTATTTGAATTAAAACTTTTTTCGCAATTTTCGTAGCATTCCAGTTGCTCAAACTGAAGGCACTGTGTCAATTTCAATGCAGCTGGAGGTTGTAGAGCAGCACTACGACAATCGCTATTTCAAAAACTATTAAGCCTCGCTTTATCTGTCTATATTTATGAGGCACCAAAACAAACTGGTTCCTTTCGCGTGGTTGTGCCGCCATTATTCTTCTCCTCCGACAAAAAATACGGATATTTTTATTGAATAATTATAAAGAGAACACGCTTTGAAACTCTTATTTATGCTATTTTAAAATTCCGCGCTTCTTTCTCAAATTAACTTTATGATATTCGAACATTCCCCCGAAAATTGTTAATGTGGCCATATAATTATCAATCTTATATTAAAACAAATAACAAACAGAATTATCGTGTATAATATGCGCCTATGAGGATACTTTTTGAAAGTGCCCAGCGAACTATCATGCACAGCTTTCATGACGGCCGACTACACCGATTATTGCTGAGTAATCTAATATACAATACAGGTGTCGTCCGCTCCTTCTGTCTGCCAAAAATACTATGCTGAGACTAATTTCCGACGCCCAAACTTTACCCTGAACCACTTTCGTGAATTTTTATTTCTGATTTTAGTAACTCATGCCTACATTGAATAAGTATAATAGGATAAAAGTAGCAATCAAACGCATCAAACGCACGTTGCCCGTGCTGTTTCAAAAGGGCTTGGCGCCTGAAACACAGTGAAGCAATCTGCATAAGCTAGAATACTGCTTCTTGCTAGTACCGGACTCCCAACTCGTCTTTAGGCTGCTTTTTCCATTTTTATATATGTGTTTATGTGGAAGTGAGATTTTCGCACAATACTCACCATGTCTTTCATCGTCATTACACTCTAGAAACTATCACGCTGAACCTCACGCTAACTGCAAGTTTCAAGCGTGGAACCGCCGTCAATACGACGGGAATGACGTTTTAAGCACCACGTGATCAAGAATAAGCGTTTGTTTTCTTTGTCCAAGCTTTAGAGGAGCCCGAGAACTCCCGCTCGGCCTCTTTTTCCGGACGGGATCAAGAACGTTATCAATAATAACCCTGAGACGAAGGAAAAATAAAAAAACGTTAGCGTGACGACCGCAAAACACACGCTTAGATTTTCGGAAACACTCGCGCGCCTCCTTTCCTCGTCACGCTAATATATATCCGAATGGATCGACCCACCCGAAGATGTACTTGCGCGTGCTTTTTTGTTGATTTTTTGTTGATGTGAGCTTTGTTTCTGGAAGCACAGAGGGCGCCTGGTACTCTTTTTTTTTTTTTGGCGGGAAAGGCGAGAAAGCCGTTGCGTTGTTTGCGTGGCTCGTCGGCTCGGTCAGTCAGTTCCCGACACGCTTTGTTTGTGGATGGACCAGCTTGACTTTGATTGCGACTGGCGAGGCTTAGCGGAAGACGGCGTATACGATTCCGGGCACAGTGTGCCATGTTTGCAGCACCAGTTAGACGTGCGTGGAGTGCCGCGGGTGCGCTGCAAACACAACGAGTGCAAGTGTCCCGAATTTCTGCGCGAGACGGAGCTGATTGCCATCCAAGGAAAGGGCTTTCCATTTGGCTGGTGTCTTTACTGCGGCCATTCGCCAGCTATCCATCGACGACTACAATATTTGGGTAAGAACCCTGTTTTCATTTGGTTTATTTGTACAAACAAAATAGTTTTTAATAAAGAGTTTAGCCCCCAAGCTGAAATGTGTTTGCCTTTTTCTATTTAGTTCGTTTTGGACTGTTCCTTTCGGTAACCGACGCCTTCCGAGATCTCTCTCTCGTTGGGTTTTAGACACTAAGGATAAATTTGCTCAAATTTTCACACAAGTTCCACAGTTATGAACGGCGCGCAGCTAATTCGCGTAATGTACCAGGCGTACTAGGTATCTACGCGATGCATCGGAGCAATTTCTTTTGATTCACAACTACCATTCGTATATGTACGTAATTATACATGAAGCAGCACGTCGGGCTTTCTTGAACTACTCACTTCGCCTGGTGAAGTCCCTAGAAATATTTAGTAGAGTGATTTTGAGCTCCGATAACCATATCAGGTAACTATATGATCCATGGGCGCCCTTTTGTTTATACGCTTATTATCGCGTGCGTTTTCTTCACGCTTTGACGATGACGCCTTCTAGGCGTGTGAAAGGCGCGTCATGGTTGAAACCTCTGGCCGCGGGCATTGAGCTTTCTCGCATTTAGTATATCGTCCCAAAAACTAAGATTATTGGGACGATATACTAAATGCGAGAAAGCCCCATGCTCACAGCCAGAGGTTTCCATTGCGAAGCGCATTTCACACGTATAGAAGGCGTCATTATATCAGCGTGGAGAAAACACACACCGTAATAAGTGTGTAAACAGAAGAGCCCCCTCACGCCTGCCAAGCGTTAATCCATAGCACAGTTCACGCTTCGGGAGCGTGAATTCTAAGCGTTGAAAAACACCACGCTTAGAACAAGTGTGCAAAAAATCGCTTTGCGTCACGCTTGCTCTGCGTGACCATTTTTAGAGTGTACAATCGTTTCATTGTATTCGCTCATGACTCTAGTCAAACGTGAAGTGCACCATCGTTGTTAGGTACTCGTTCAGAAACTGAGAGAGGTGAGAAGACGAAAGAGCGCAGTGACGTCAGAACGCCGAGATCTTGATGGAATGATTATAGTGTGTAAACCTAAAGCAAGCTGCCTTTCTCTCTCTTGCACTCGTCGAACGCATTCGAATGCAAAAGCCAAACGCCGAACGCCGGCGTTCCGCGTTCAAACGCGTTCGACGAGCGCAGTGGAGACAAAGGCAGCTAGCTTTAGGTCTACCCACTATAATCATTCCAACCAGAGCTCGACGTTTTGACGTCACTGCGCTCTCTCCTCTCTTTCTCTCCTTCGGTTTCTACCCGCATAGCCATCGATATTACGACAATGGCAGGGTGTGTCCTCCGACCGCCCAGCGTTCACGACGGGCGCCGTCGCCTCCCGCCGTGCTTTGACTGTGCGTACACACTCGAAGCACACGAGATGCCAGAGTGCGATCGAAGGCAGAATGCTTGCGCTAAGGCGGGACATATGAAACTCCTGCCTGCCGTTCTCGTTTAGTCAGTCAGTATACAGCAACGCGCGGTTCTGACTTCACGCCGCTAGGGAGACGCTTGGTGTAAGCACCGCGCATGCGCAGAACGCTTCACCTCGCGTGAATTTGGTTGTACGTATACGCGGCGCCCAAACCTCGTGTTGGCAAATACTGAGTTTTTTTGTGAACAAGGTGTTTGTCTCCGAGAGGTTCGAAATGTTCGTACCATTTCTCCGTCCGGGTTGAAGTTGTTGGTGTGTACCAGAACGGTCCACCAGTTCCTGACACAGCCGTTGATCATTAGCATGTAGGTGTCTTCGTCGGCGGGGCCAGATCCCAAGAGAGGCAGGATGAACACTGCCAATATGAGAACCGCCGCAGGAATTGTTAGGCTGTAAAAGAAATCAAGACAGTAGTTGAAGGATTCCTTAGGAGTAGCCCATAGTCGCCGGAGTCAGGGCTTGGGCGAGGTGCGACTCCGCGTTTGACAGGAGCCATTGTCATGGTATATAGCAGTGAATATGTTCCGACTGCCTCCTCCTTCCGAACGATTATGAAGGCTGAATCCCTCGGAAAAGTTTAGACCCATGCCTCTAAAAGTGACACGTTTAGAAACAGATTTTTCGTTTTCTTTTTGTGTGCGGAGAATCAACTACTAGAATTATCTGCCCTCCGACTGTGTGCACGCTCCAAATAATAACTTTTTTTTAATCTTCTCCTAGAAAATAGATGTGACCCTCTCCTACTTGAAGACAAAAAAAAAGAGAGAAAAAACCCCGTAGTGATTTTTGTTTTAATTAATGAAAAGGCAAGAAATTGAGGGAGCCCAAAAGCCTGAATAGAAAGCACCTGAAATACAGAGTAAGCTGCATCACAGAAAATATGTTTGTTTATTCTTACATAAAAAAGAACAGCTATGTGCTGTCTGCGTGTCGCTGCCCTTATTCCTTTTTAATGCTTTAGCATTAGAACGCTCTTTTCACAAAAACCCGCCGGTGTCAGTTCGTGCTTCCGTTTGTCAGCGCCGTGCACGACGTCGCGTGAAGAGTGGAGTAGTGAGGGGGTATCGTGTCGATGGTCAGCGGGTAGGCGGCGGAAAGAGAGGGAGAGGGCGACGCTTGCTGACATCAGCGCTTCGGACCAATATGAGCGTCGCACAGCTGTTGCGGAGTCAGAGACGAGCAGGAGCCGCGTCGTTTCGGAATGCGGCCCAGCTCAATGGCCGCTCCGGCGATGGATGTGGTTCTTTCCACGAGAGATGTGGCTGACCGTATCCAACAGCGACGACGGAAGAAAACCGAGGCCACGCGTCGGAGACGTCAGGCCAAAGCAGAAGAGCGTAAGCGTCGTTTGGCTGCTGCCGTAGAGGCAAGATAACGGAAGCGTGCAGCGGAAGGCACAGAAGAAAAGCATTAATAAATGACAGGAAAGCGATGAAAAACGAATGGCAAGAGGTCCTAAAGGAATGGAAGGGGGTGAGAAGGGGGTGAAAAAAACCAATGCTAACAAAGTGTTGAACTGGGCGAGTCGGTAAAAGTTCGACATGGTGGGTGTAATAACTTCAAAAAACGAGGACGAAGAAAGGAACAGACTCGACAGGACAACAGCTGTACTCGCAACTGAAATGTTTTATTTGAAAAGAAAAAGGAAACACATAGGTCAGCGCCAGCTAACAGTGTGTAATCAAACAATACGCCACACACAAGGCACGTGTCATCAAAACAGGTTCACTAGACTAAACTTATGCCAGTCATGGTCTGGCGCAAAAAAGGACAGCTCCTTATCACATAAGGCAAGCGACAGCTCACTCACACAGCTTTCGCCGAGGCACAAAATATAAAAAGCCTCAATAATTTCGCTAGTGACCCTCTCTCTATGCCTCCCTTCAACCGTCACCTCGTCAAAGCCCGGCTGACACGTGCAGTCTCTGCAATGCAAAGGGAGGAGTTCCCCAACCGTGGCCCTCAGCGAGTAAGCATGTTCCCGGACCCTATCTTTAAGGCACATCCCTGTCTGGCCTATGTAGAATTTACCACATGACAGGGATATCTTGTACACTACACTCGAGATACAAGACACGAAAGGTTTTGCGTATTTTTTGTACACTTCGCGTTTAATCAATTTTCGGCTCTGGCGCCCACCCTTGAGCAAATCTGGCTCATTTTTTGGGGGGCCGAGAACACTACTGGTACTTCATACCGGCCTCCAACTTGTTTAGGGTTGTGGGAGACACGGTTGATGTAGGGGACCACCACCTTTCGCTTTTTGTGTACGTCGGCCATCACCCTTCTATCCCTTTTGTCTTCTTCGGAAGGGCATTTGCCACCTCTGTTAGGAGCGCTGATGGGTACCCCGACGCCCTCAGTCTCTTAATCTGCGCTAAGAAACTGTCGGTCATCATGTGAACGCATGACTTCCCGAGAGCAGAGCCGAGACAGGAAACTGCTATGCCCCTCTTCACCAGCTTGGAGTGGGACGATCAGTAGTCTAAAATCGCCTTCCTCGACCGCGGACCGAAGGACCAGCATACCTGTGTGTCCTTGAGACACAGCGCCAGATCCAGAAACTGGAGAACCTTATCTTTTGGTTCTTCAAACGTAAACCTAAGTCCCCCACCACCCACACCGAACGCACGTAAGGCATTAGCCCGCGTTGCCTCTCCATCCACATTGGACGATTTTCTGGTGGTGTTTGACAGTGTGGATGGAGAGGCAACGCGCGCTAATGTCTTACGTGCTTCCGGTAAGTCGACTCACCGGTTTCGCTGTTCATTCAACGGTAAATGTCCTTAGTTAAAAAAGATGTTTCCGTGTTTTTTCTATTTTTTGAGAAGTTATATGAATAAAGGGAAACGTTTCCCCTTCTGCCTCGGACGCAGTCTAATCCTATTCTCCCAAAACCACTAGTTGACGTATTTCCGGTCATCACTCTCAAGACGTATTGTTCCCAAACACCCGAAAAGCCCAAGTTATTGCGCATTGTCACACAAGGGGGCTAAACTTGTGCTAGGCTGAAGCGTCGCCAGTTGAGGAAAGGGACGGCGTGAGCTTCCTAAAATGTGTACTTTCCCAATGAACGCGTGGCGATATCTGTTCGTAGGTTTATTCCCGAATAAACTTCTAAGGAAAGGAAGCGAGGCATACCGCGAGTGGCATCTGCTTTGCTGGGTTCTCGCTTTTTGTCAACTACAAAAAAACATATTTCCTGCGAAGGATACGCACGAAAGGTTCTGGGTCCTTGGCAAGGCATTTGGGATTAACAATTCATTCCGGTCGTTATAGTCGGTTACAAGTCAAGAAGGTAGAAGAAGCTCCTCCCACAAGTGTGATGCGCGCGTGTCAAATCTCTCCGCAGTCGAAAGAAGAGTTCACTTGAAACGCTCCTTGTTCCGCTTCAATGGATTCCCACTTGTCTACGATCCCACTTTTTAAGAAAGCGACCTTTGTATTCATCGGAGAGTGAACCGAGCCCTGAAAGCAGCCTTTGTATCCATCGGGGGGGAAGCTAATCCTCGAAAGTCGTATTTGTTTCCGTCGGTGGGGGAGAACTCTAATCTCCCTCTCGTGGCTTCTACAATGCTAAGTCAAAGTCGAAAGATAAAGCAAATATGTACAGAAAGGCAAGACCGCCCTCGCGCCTTGTCCGCGACGTCACGGAAACGGTGGGACGCTATTGGATGCAAAGGTGGCGGAGGGATATCTGATTCCCTTTGAGGGGCATTTGCCGCTACCTTCTTAACCTGTAACTGACTATAGTTGTTCACAACGGTCGACGCTTACGGTTTGACCTTGCTTGACAAAAGACCAAAAAGGCTGGGGATCTGTTTGTCTTGTCCTCTCAGGTTTTAAAATGTGTTGACTTCACTTGTGATGCGTCTTCGCCTTGTAGGCTTTGAGCCGTTCACCCCTTAGATGAGAGTGCGGTGTAAGCTACGTGGTCGTTGGAACAGTCACGTGTCTATCTTTCGCCACGTAACCACGCTTTCGCTCATACCCAAGTGGAGAGAAAGGGACGGGTCAGGTCATGAAAGGAGGTTGATTGGTTCTGGCGAGCTCGTATTTCCCACCGCACTGTCAGCTTAGGCGTGAATAAAGTATACTATCGTCGTGATGACGTGACGCCGTGAATCTATCTTGCTTGAACTTGGTGAGCTGTGGCCATCCAGCGATGTCTTCACACATAAGCTTTTCTCCTTCGCCTTTCCAGCCAGTTTTTGTACGCCTGTCGAGTTCTTCGTGCGAGGACTGGCGCTCAGATAGCCTTCGTTTATTTGCTCTAACGTCTCTTTCACGACATTTCATTATGCAAAATATTTTTTTTAATCTTTTTCTTAAAGCTGGCAAACGAACTTTCTCATTTGGTGCAAAAGTAATTTCAAAAGCAATGAGTAATTTTCTCGATATTACTGCCTCGAAGTAATTCACTACATTACTGAATTACCAGCCTAGAAAAGTAATGCATTACATTACTGATTACTACGATAAGTAATTTAATTACAGTAATTTTATTACAGTAATGTACTGCCATATCTGGTAAATAGTGTCCCTCTCAACCCATGGGGGTGCGTTTGCAATTTAATGGCGAACGCTGCCGTCGGAAGTTGGTCGCAAGTACGCATGCGCGTCATTTTTGTGCGGTAAGGAGGAAAAAGCAGACGAAAAAAGCGTCTGCGCGCGCCTGAGAGTGGAGACGCTCACAGACGACCATCGCGTTTGTCACCTCCTCGTAGCTCGTATAGCAAACGCGGCCTATTCGCGACTCCAACGACCTATAGGGGGCGCCCCCACCAAACAAACATGGCGGCTGAGTCCAGGTCGCGGCGGCTCGGCCGGGCCGCCTGAACAGGTGGCGCGTTCAATTTAACAGATTTTCTTTTGTTTAATGCCCAATTTTATAGGTATTTGAACTGAGACGGTTAAGTGTAGCCGGTGCAGATAATATTGCAAAGCATAGTTTTGTTTTGCCGGTGTTTTTTTGTTCTTTTCGTGTCAAACTTTCGTTTCGGAGATTTCGTTCAAAACCGAAACTATGGGCTCCGGAGAGACGGTAATATACTAATCAGTTTTGAGCATCTAAGGAAAGCGGCGATGACTATAGAATTGTTCCACAGAGAGTAACTTTACAGCTAACTCGCATGCCTCGACCATGCGACTTATCTGTCCGCGAAATCGAGCTTTTGTGCTGTATCCGCGTTTACAAAACAGCTCCAGTCTGCTCGGCCAACAACACAGGCTGCAGGGAAATTACGAAAATTAAGCAACCGCTTCCTGAGCCAAGGACCATGTTAACCCGCCGGCGCCCCACTAAGCAGCTGATACTCGTATTTCAATTCAGGTTTTAGTAGCAATCGAGAAGTCATTTTGACGAGCGGGTTATGTATTATATTACGTACTATGTCCCACTAAAGCGATATTATTATATTCTTCGGGTTGAAATATGAGCTTAGTTGACTAGCTATAAGGTGAACTGCTGGATAAAAGTATAGTTGACAGAGAGAGAGATACTACCTAAACTCAGCCATATAGTTCTAGCCGGCAGCACGAAGACAAACTGAAGAGAGTCTTCATCGGAAATTCACGCAGAACCTCTCTGCATTGAACTTTGCTTCGAATCCTGAACGGAGAAAATGAGTATTTTTTGTGGCCGGTCAACCTGAGCATTGTAAACGGATATTGATGCTCGCTTTGACGGGGGTATAATATAAATATTGGGGGGCGCAATAGATCAAAATGCCGTGACAGCTTCTAACGTCGCGAAACTCGTCCCCCACCTTTTGAAGACGGATAATTTCCCTCATTAATCGTATGCAGCGAGCAGGTTTTCCCGAATCAAGTAATTGCGAAATCAGCCCAACTCCTTCAGTGTGGTCCAGAGGCTTTTTCGGCGAAAAGCAGCCAAGATGAATAGCCAACGCACAGACCGGCGTGGGTGGCTCAAACTTGAAGCCAACCGAACGCAACCAAACTCAAGAAAAACAGCTATCGAACCTTCCCATTCATTTGACTGCAGCATTGGTGTTTCCTCCAGTATAAGTTACCAAGCAGTCGTCACTTTGAATGTGATTCGAGACAGACAAGAAATCAAAAAGTTTTTCCGTGCTTCCTTCCCATCCAAGAAATCGAAAGCACGCGACCGTGTGCTGTGGAGTAAACGGGCTTTCAAACACGTAATAGAAGAAAACAATCTACTGAGGCTTCGCCACACTAATAATCACTCAGGCAAACTTAAGAAATATTCGGACCTTCGTCAAATTACATCGTTCGCCACCGCGCCGACAACACGTCTCCGCGAAAGCCATCAGAGACGCGGAGGTGCGCGGAGCGACCTGGACGGGCTGGTTCCCGGTTTTCCCGCTTGGCGGCGTCCGTTTTGCTGGAGTCGCGAATAAATCACGTGACCTTTATCGAGCAGTTTTACACGCTTTGTAATACATGCTCTCTACAAAGATGCGCTCCGGCAGGAAACCGAAACCTAGAAACACGTTTAAATTGAGCGTTTTTATTGAACGCCGTAAAAAGCTATAACTGCCGTATATATCTGAAATTAGCTTCTTTGGCCACTTTGTTTTATTCTCTGTAAGCTTTTGATTGGAACCATAGGTTTATTATCACTAATTAAAAATGTAATATATAAATTATTCTAAATTAATTGGATAATTCGTATGTTATTTGCAAACCCCATTATGTGGCTGGCAGCTTGTTCCCGGAAAGTGTTTCTTTCTTTATGAACAACCCTTTTTATGGGGATTCTTGAAAATCTTCGCTGAAACACCCGGTATAATCAGGTCACCGGAAAGCAGTTAAACGACAATATATTTGAAGGACGCCTTGAAAAATCACCCTTCGTACAAACTACTCGGGTTTATGGACCAATCCATAAAATACAAAACTGTGAGCACTTCAACGGAAAGACGGCAAGCTCGCCAAATTCTCGAACATAGCAGCTTACATCCTGCAACTTCGAGCACTGCCGCCACGTACGACTTCATTCTTGTTTCGTGTCACGCTCTCAAATTGCCTACGCTGGAGCTGCGACAAAACTATCGTTTTATCTTGGTTGTTTTAGGTTTCTTCACTACCACCCGTAAAAGACATGACGCTAGAGATGTGTCGGGACGGCCCAACAAACAAAACGAACTATCAAAAAACGATTACGGGATCCCATTTACGTTGGTAACTTACCGCATGTAGCGCCGAACGACTCCGTTGATATAGATTAAGAATTTGTTGTTTCTTATAATCTGTTCTCGTGACGTAGTTGCAACGTACGACAGGGCGAAGCCACTGTAAAAAAATAAAGCAAAGCGTTGTGAAAAAAAAAAAAAAAATCACCATCCCTTAAAAACGGTTCCAGTGACATGCTTCAATTCATTCATTCACTACCATTCAAACCGTACGCAATAGGATGCTTAGTATTGTAACAACACAAATTGGACTGTCTGAAGGAGAAAGGTAACTTATTCGAAAACTGAAAACATGCGGAATAGATCTTGACTAATTCATGTAAGAAATGTCATAGCAAGGTTCACGCAGCTTCTTTGCTCGCGTACTCTACAAGTGGAAGCGCAGGGCTAAACCCTCGATCGTAAAGACAACGTAGAAAGAGTAAAGCTGTATTTGTTTGTCGAAATTAAATCGAAACAAATTATGAAAAGAATAAACAAGAAAAACAATTCACACTTGTTGGTTTGAACTATCAGAAAGGAGCTGTACCGTGTGCCCACGAATCGGAGGGAAGCAATTAAAGTGACCGCACGAAACGGCTTGGTAAATTAACGAGCAATTGCAAACGCTCCCAATATTTGACAATGGCCCTCACTTTAATCTAGGCTTTCTACGTCAGCTTACTGCCCGATCGAGCCAAAATGCAGACAATGTTTTTGAAACACAAACGGCACGCGCTCTTTCGCTGATGTAATGGTCTGGGCATGATTTCTTTTTCACTCCCAATAAAACAGATTAACTGGACACAAAACAAACAAAACCGATGGTTGGTCAAGTGATTTAAGCTACATGCTGTCTGTTTTTGTCGTGTTCGGGCAGTAAGCTGACAGCTGACGCCTGGGTCGCTGACGTTGTCTGTCGGTTGCTGCGCCAGTCAGAGATGGCGTGGATAACACACAAAAGTCGTAAACTAAAAAAAAAAAAAAAATCGATTGTCTTTTTTTTTTGGTTTCCTTTTATTGAAATATTTATTTTTCTTTTTTTTTAATTTTGATACAATGCTTTTATAGCCTTTGGGGATTCCTCTGGAGAATCGTAGCGCGATTTACCACCATCATCATCATTTATTTTCCTTGAGGGACCGTAGGGCATTTAAAGTCTACCCCCGAATTCGTGGGAACGCGGTATAAAACAAAAATACGTTGGCAACAGGAAAATTCTAAGGGAACAGAACGATAAACGATAGTAGTGAGTTTTCATATTGCGTATACGAGCGAACGCAAGCACCGTGTGTTAGCCTTGCGTCTTGCACACTGCGCGTCCGCGGAGCTCAAATCGCGGCCTTGGATTGGCGCATGGGGACTTCGCGCATGCGCAGCGTGGAACACGCAACGTTAACGCAAACGCAGAGCGCTTGCGTTTTCTCGTACACGCAATACTAAAACTGACTATTAATCCCTGGAGGGGGAACAAGGAGAACACATGACAAATACAAATTTCTGAACACAGCTAGATGACTGGTGCGCGACAAAAAGAATCTTCCTTGTCCTGGTATCGAACCAGGGTCCTCTCCTTTTCCAGTGAAGCGCTCTACCAACTGAGCTAACCAGGAATTGGACGTTGGTAGAGTAGAGAGGTTTTATTAACCGCCAACGGTGTAACACCAACAGGGGTGAATGGCCTTCATTTGAACGTGTTTTGAGATTTGTGTTTTTTCTTTGTCCCGCTTGTTCACCATCTGCGGGGAGTATTATCGTTTACTTCTGTACAGCTCAACTGCAGCTTTGAATTCACTGCATTAACATCACAAGAACTCTAGTCGAGTCACACTAAGAACCCTATGATCAGTGAGTGAAAAAAAAAATGTTATTTTGATAAAGCCAAATTACTAAGACGGGGAATGTCCACTTACCGAATAACACTTGCAAAAAAATAAGGTCTAACGCATTAGGAGTCCGGATAAATACCGTATAAAACAGCAACAGAAAGGGAAACGAAACTGTTATTGGGGAGGGGATCGGGGAATGGCTCACCCTAACGGCCACCTCGGGAACTAACGTTGTGTGGCCAAGAAACTCTTCGACTGCAGTCATTAGTGCATTCGCTGCCGTAAAAGACAGCGGCGCAAGGCTCGTGAAAGACAACACGCTTCTTTTCTACTAAACGTATCTAAATAGAAGCAATATAATCCTTCTTGCGGTCAATGTCATAGAAGCGCTCTCGGAAGGCAAAAGAAGCGCATGCGTGGTAGTGACCGATTCAGAGAGTGGGGGGGGGGGAGGGGGGGGGGGGGGGAGCCCTTTCTAAAAATACCTGCGTCCGCCCCGAGCGCGTGTGCCGGCCAGCCGCGTCCTGGATCTTGCGTAGCCGGCATGGCGTTCCTGTCTTTCTAAATTATTCCTCAAGCACGTACATCACTTTTCAGTTACCTCGTCTCTTGCGACAATCATAGACGACATCGGCGAAAGCAAGCGGTTTCTCGTTGCAGCAGTAGACAAGCTCAACTGCAATCATGCCATTGAGCGCAGCGTTGCACCAGATGCGACGGCGGACAGCGTTCGCATCGTCGCGTACGTCCTGCAGTCCTCCGCGCTGCATGTACCCGATTCAAAAGTATGCTTCGAGCGATGCGGTATGCAGCAAGTGCGCACCATATCGCCGCAAACAAATACGCAGCGAGCGCGGAAACTATGCGGCGTACGCTAGGCGAGCGCTGGCATCCGAGTTATGTGCCACACAGCGATTGTTTGCGGTGATGATGATGATGATAATAAAACTGCGCCCCCTATAGTTTGATCTCCTCGCCTATAGCCACTGAGGGCTTAAAAAACGAAAGGAACGGCGAGTCCCGAACATCTTACCATGCCGCAGCCAATGAGATGGCGGCATCAGAAGATACGAACACCGAAGAACCAATCATGAACCAGGAAGTGTGACCATAATAAGCAACCCCTGGGTTTCTTCGGCTGTCAGGGACTGTATACAATACACCACTTGGAATCGCTTCCGCGTAGAACCTGTTTTTTGGTTATTTGCCTGTGTGGCATTTTTACCAAATGCCCTTACCTCATGTAAAAGAAGGTGGTCACGCTTAGAAAGGCATTCTGAACCAATTGGAAAGACGGGTCTTCGGTGAAGTCCGCCATATGGTACAAAGCATCTGAAAGTTACGCCTGGTTAGCCACAGCTCTAATTTAGATAAATATCTTGGCATGAAGTTGCGCCCACGGTAACGAAAGAATGTGACTCACGGTAAAATCCGGGCTGCACCAGAATATACGCGTGGCCGAAGACCACCCAGAACGCCATGATGACCTTGAAACCGGCCATAAATCGAAGGGGTTCGTTTTCTGGTTTAAGTTCAGTGTTTAACAAAAACCGTGTGTTGGTGATGGCCGAGAAGAAAAGCAGAATCTGCATAGGAGCGCCTGTCAAACATAACAACACATACTGCTTGTAAACACACAAGAACATTATAAAAGAGAAGGCAACATTTTGTCAAGAGCTGCAAACATTCGATCCTTTTGTATAATTGGCATTTTTATCCCTAAAAAACTATCTAAAACGGTAGATAAAAAAAAGATGCCACGATAGTACGTTCTCTCGTTATAACTATTGGCATAACTTCTAGGTTTGTAGCGCCTTAAAATTTAATGAGCAAATAGTTAGCAGAACGAAATGTATAGAAAGATACGCAGTGTAAAATGTATATGTTCTCGTCAAGCTAAATCTTGATCATATTTTATCAAAGCATTTGTTACCCAAACCCTAATAATATATTCCCCTTCTAATGATCATCTTTAATCAATCCTGATTAAGAACCCCACACCTCTGGTCAAAACATGACATGTAATTTTGGCAGTAATTCATCATGTTGACCGTCACATCGCAACCCGCCGCTAAAAACTTCCAAATGTATGCTCTTTTTTTTTCTATACGTTCAATTTTGTTTTAGCATACATGCGGCGTGTTCTGCCAACGTTGAACTGAAAGTACTTTGTGAATTCGCTGACCAAGTCAAATCACACAGAAATTATGCACCTAGACCAACATCGTGGGCTTATAAACAAATTTTATCATCCGTTAGGAATTATGTTTTTCTAAGTAGTGAGATGAAGGAGTAAGTTTTGTGCCCTGAAGCCATTCCTCCATAATAGCTATTGCTTGTAATTACAAGCTTCAAATAAAATTAACATCGCAGCTTCTATGAAAGCGTATTTCACCACTCATTATATCAGAGTGGTTTAAAGCGAGACGTTCGAATAATAAGTGCAATTCATCCTCTTGGCAATGGTGTCAAGTGAGGGCAGCCCAACGAAATAACATTTCCTATAACGCAAGGTGAGTAGCCCGTTTTGCCAATCATAGCTCGGATCTTTTGAAAATTTTGCCATCGAGGTTGGCCTCATCGCTCAAGTATAGTAATCATAGTCGTCAAGGAACTGGGATGTACAAACTCTCAACAGATATTTGAGACGTTAAATTCATCGATATTTATTTTATACGGGATTAGATGAAACTTAGAATATTTACACAGTGAACAGAATAAATAATTATACTCCGCGACAACTTTTCTTGGCAATGCAGTGGAAGGTACGTCCCGCGTCCCCTCTCCCATTTTGAGTGTACGCAGGCTCTCCTCCTCTCCCCGGAAATGGGGGAGGAGGAGAGCCTGCGTGCACTCAAAATGGGAGAGGGAACGCGGGACGTACCTTCCACTGCATTGCCAATAAAAGTTGTCGCGGAGTATAGTAGAGGTCAGTAACAAGTAAAAAAAAAGTAAAAGCCGTTTACAACTCCCTGTAATGCCGAGTTAGAGCGCAGCTCTTGAGGAGGAGGAGCAGGGAAGGGTACTGAGGGGAGGCTATGCACCTCCACCTCCTCCTCCCCCCCTAAATCTTCAATCCCCTCCGGGGGGTCGCGTGACCTGGGGGAGGGGTCACGTGACCTCGGGGAAGGGAAGTCACGTGGCCACGTGACCTCGGGGGGTGGGGTCACGTGACACTTTCTCCCCGAGGTCACCGAAGGAACCCGAGGTCACCGAAGGTACCCGAGGTCCTCCCGAAGGAACCCGAGGTCCTCCCGAGGTCCTTCCAAAGGAAACCGAGCTTTTCCCGAGGTCCTCCCGAAGGAACCCGAGGTTCTCCAGAGGTTCTCACAAAGGAACCCGAGGTCCTCTCCATGTCCTCCCGACGTCCTCCCGAAGGAACCCGAGGTCTTCCCAAGGCCCTTCGGGAGAAGCTCGGGTTCTTTTGGGAAAATTTACCCATAATGCACCGCGCGGTTACGCCGACGGCGACGGCGACGGCGACGCCGCTCAAGCCGGAATCGGGCGCCTAAGGGCTGCGCTCTAAAAAGGATGCAAAAACATGTTAGTTTTGCCCTGGAGACTGGGTATAAATGGTGCAGTCAACATTCTACATTGCATACTACATCTCGTGAGTGTCTAAATGTTTAAGGCGCAGCTCTTAGGCGCCCGTTTCCGGCTTGAGCGGCATCAGTGTCGCAGTCACCGTCGGTGTAACCGACGTTTCCCATAATATTGTCACATGTGACGTCCCTCGTAACCGCGTTGCATTACGAGACTTTTCCCATAATGACGTTACACGTGGCGTCACGTGTGACGTCACGGAGGTCATTACGGTCACAAGTGACGTCACGAATTCATTTGGGAAGGTCACAACGAAAGTCACGACCTTCACAGCGAAGGTCACGTGAAGGTCACTACCTTCACGAGGCCTTCACGAGGCCTTCACGAGTGACGTCCCGGGGGTCACTAGGGTCACGAGTGACGTTACGAGGGAGGAGGAAGGGAGAGGGAGGAGAATAAGAGGAGGTGGGAGGAGCAGAAGGGAGGAGGGGGAAAAGGAGGAGGAGTGGAGGAGGAGGAAGAAGGGAGGAGTAGAGGGTACGTTGGAAGAGAAGGGGCATGCTCTCCTCTCCATACCGTCCTCTCCTCGCCCTCAAAACGGGCGCTCTAATTTGGCATTGCAGGGAGTTGTAAACGTCTTTCATTGTTGAAGATAAAAACCGTCGGTAGCACAAGCTATATAGCAATCTAAGTATTCAGTAAAATTTACCAAAACGAGGAAGGAAAGGAAAATATTAAAAGTCGTACTGACCATGAGATCTCTTCTGCGATGAAAAGTGTCGCTCAATGATCCACTCCAGTACAGTGGCAATTACAACGAGGATTAAGAGAGTAGAAAGTACTGCGCTGCAAATAAATGACATGAGGCGAAGTATTTCACTCTAAATAAACATCCGCAAAGAGAGTCGAAGTAAACTTACATTGAAACTGCTTGGAGAGTCGAAATTTCCTTCGAATCGTCTGTTCTGCAGTTCGCCGCAGTAGCGTTGAGTCCGTAGAGATTAAGCACTACAGGAAAAATATTTTCAAGAAAGGGTAAGAACGCAGGACACCTAGAGTGAAAACACTTTGATAATTAACGCGAGAATAAATCAAACTTACTAAAACAGGGCAAATCTACACAGCGTGTCACACAACTACTACTTCACTTGACAATACACCCTCTCTATACACTCTATTTTCTTCATTGGTCTAGTACACTGCTACGCAAGACGGCACACAAAACTAAACGACCTCTAAACTTCCCAAGTGACTCCAGGGAACCAAGTAAACCAAATGATACACTAATGGCCAACCCCAATTTAACCACTAAAATTAAACCCTAATAATGTATTTCACGAACTCTCCGCCTTCCTTGTCAATCTGGCCTCGGCCAAAACTAATAATTACTTTAGTCACTCGCAGCTGAATAAAGCGTGGCTTAGTATGTTCACGCTCCTTGCTTCGTTGATTGGTCCTTCGCTGTTCATTGTGCTAAATACCGCAATCTCACTGGCTGCGGAGTTATGATTAAACGCTCGGGAGTCGCCATACCCTTTAGGAAATTTCTTGAGCAGTCAGTGAGTCTATAGCGTGGAGTTATTTTAACGACACCCACCCTGCAAACCATGAACTTTTTCTTTATTTACCTCGTTTAGAGACAGTGGGAATCGGCTTATAGACTTTCCCGAGCTTATTAAACGCATAATGCCTTTTAAAATACTCCATTTGCATTGTCTTTGTTTTTGCATGTAACACCCCAGATTACTTACTTCCATTCTGTTTCGCAGTTTTCGCACATTTAGAGGTGCATGAACATTTTAGAACATTTGATGTTTCATTACGCTCCAAAATCCTATCGTTGAAACCACGACCTGTGCTTCCAATGTGCGAACAGCCTACGCAAAACAAATATCGCACACAACCCTCTGTTGGCAAGGCGCCTCCAGATTCAAATGTCTCTTCGGAGAAACATGGATCAATTCCTACTAAAAAAAGAGGGTGTATTTCCTTATCCTCGCTGAACAACAATCCCATTTTACAAGCGGTTCATTCACTCTATTACGTCAAACAAACGGTGGAAACGATGGCACAAACCAGGTATTGTAACGTACGAACATGCATCCTCGTTGTATATTAGATAAATAACGTACAATGTTTCGTAAAATATACCGCTTTCAAAAGTCCGCGCAAACGCCTGTCCGCCAGCGCTTCATCAGGTACTCTGAGCAGATATTGGTCACAAGCGAGGCATCAGCGTTCGGCGAGGGCTCGGATCCAATCACGTGCTTCGTGTCAAAGCAACGGCGACCGCCAATGTTAGTCGACGGACTTTTAGAAAGGGTCTATTGAAGAAACGAATGACTCGTTATGCAATCCCTTCACCGGGGGTTTCATTATTATGAAAACGAATTGCCTTACCGCGTGCTTCCTTAATTTCAAAGTGTAAGCAGAAGAAACTTGGGAAGAGACTAGTATTGAGGTGACATACGGAGGTCACTTGACCTTATGTGACACTATGGCGTGACGTGACATTGTGGCATAACGCTATGGCGTTATATGACACCGCTACGCCACGTAACCTGACTTCAAATTACGCCGTGACGTGACATCATCATAGCGTCATGTTACCGTCCTTACGTCACACTATGATGTTACATTGACAACACTTCACAGTGTCGCGTGACGTGTGTGTCATGGTACCGCGGGACAATCCGTCGTGTGACACCATCACGTGACTAGACGTAAAGTTTTGGTGACACAGACACTGTGTCGTCACGGTTCACGTGACGCCGTGTTCGTATAACGCCAACCCGACGCCATCCAAAAAACGCTGCACACTTTGCCTCAATCTTATTGGTAGTACTACGATGCCCAGAGTTTCTTTTTTTTAGTACATTAGCAAAAAGTGCATAGCACTGCGGCTGTACGAGCTTCGTGCAGTGGAACTCTCTACAAG